CTGGATCTCGTAGGTGCTGATGTAGATGTTCTATGATTTCTGCTTGCGCACTCTCTGAAAGAAAGTCCTTGCCTGAATATCCGATAGGCATGATCATGTCGAGACGGACAGGGAGATAAAAACACACGTTTTTTTTTTTTGAAACCGGTCAGTTTAATCAATCCACTATATAATTTCGTTAAAAATGACTAGTTATCTCAAGCCTTCCCAAAATCCCACATAGGTCTTTCTTACAATCAATGGATTAGTACCTTACATCACAGCTACATGCCATCAGACATCCTCGTGTCGTTCTCTTGCTCGTAACACAACCTACCTTTCGTCCTCGCCCTCTCAAGTTTCCCCACATATATGCATAACTATTCAAGTTGAATATAAGATAGTATATACAACATAGAATAGTTATGTAGAGTAGATACTATCAGTATCTTGTAGTATTCAACATAAGATACTACAAGTAGTTGATTCAATTTTCGTCCCAAGTTGCAATCAGATTTCTCATCGAAACCGTGTCTGGACTCCGAGAGGTGGTCATGTGGGGTCTTGGCCCTGTGGTGTCCTTCAGCATATTGGCCATGCACAGCGTGGCTTGGCAGCTTGAAATGTTGCCATTCGAAGTCATGATGGAATATATCTGGGAATACCCAATATCCCATTTGAATATGTTGAAATGGGATATCAGTGGTATATAAATGATTTAGTATGATTTAGTTACATGGGAATTCATGGGATATGAGAAAATCAATGGGATATCAATGGGATACATGACCAACAGTGTGATTTATTGCAATTTATGGTTGTGTCTGACAACGGCGTATGAAATCCCCAATGCCATGCCATTATTCTCGGAAAATTGTGATTAACCAATATTAACCAATGTATTCTGGGGTGCCAATAGAAATTTTCCAGTAGCCAAATGTAGCCAATCTATGTCCAGTGACCTTCACCGAGCCATCACCGAGCCCTGCAGCTCAGGATCGAGTGCAACGACGGAGCGGCGAGCTTTCTCCCGAAAAGGAGCAGATCCTGGGTCAAAAGATAGGGAACTCTCGACCGGGCCATCGAGCGTTAGGTGTCCAGGGTATCTACTGTACAATGTATCTACCATGGAAAGTCAATGTTGAGCCAACAGACATGGGGATTTGACATGATTTGACCTAGCTAAAAGTTGAACCGTTGGGAAAGGATGGACGGAGATTGTGCTGAGACAAGCGGAGAAACGATATGATACGATAATACGATATGACTCATATGAAACAAGGGAGTGCCAAAATTTGTCAAATTAGATGGCCAAATCCAAATCCCAACAAAATCTCAGATGGGTATGGCCCGCATGGTGAATACTGTTGATGAAACGGTGCCCAGCAAAGGCAAACCTCTCTGATGCCCTTCTTGGCGTTGCTAGATGGACGGCAATCCTTCTCTGCACTGCAAGAAGAGCTCCCGGGCCAAACTGAACGCACTTCGTTGGTTGGACTTAGTTGGGCAAACAGCTGCTGAATGCATTCACATCTTGTATTTATATTTACATCATTGCATCCAATTTCATTTACTGTACATGTGAACATGTCTGAGGTTGGTTGCTTCAAACCTGGTTGCCGCTGGCCTAGTTGCCTTCTTCCTCAGTGCCGGCGGCGCAGTTCGGCCATCCTGGATGGCATTTGGAAAAACAACTCTTTAAGAGCTTTAAGACTGGTGTGCACGGGCCATGTAGGTCCCGGTGTGATTCGATGTGCGGCACCAACGTGTGGCGCTACCGACCAGCGGAGACAGAAAAAAAGATCAACTGGTCAAGACAACGTCAAGACTGGAGAGAATGAATATTGCATGATATTGAATGACTCGCAGAGAAACGATGGGTGGCTAGACTCAGTTCTGGTGTTAACATGTTCTGTGTTTGAAGCTGGTTCCCCCTTCGTGTTCGCCAGTTCGCTGAGAGGACGGTCAATTCGAGATTAGCTACACTTGGGCTCCGGGAGAAGAGAAAAAATCATGCGACATCTTCAGGCGCTTCAGTGTACAACTCCGCGCCACTGAAAGCCCTATGGCTTTGCATTTTATGTCACTGAGCTAAAAGGCTAAAATGCTCCTGCTCAGGAGCGAGGGACCTGCCGAGATGGAAATTTGGAATGGCGATCCCAATTCTCGCACCTTGGAGAAGCGCAGAAACCAAGCTGGTTTCTAACTATAGAGAGAGGGAGAGAGAGATAGAGAGAGAGATATACACACACATATATATATATATTATAATATATATATATATACATACACGTATATATATATATATATTTATACATAGAGTACCGAGTAACTGGGGTTTATGGTGATAATAACTACAGTTATAACGACAGTCAGATGGGTAAACCAACTTCCACTGTGCATTGCGGCCCATTTCCGCCCGTTTCCGCCCAGGCATGTTGTCCCATGATGTGGGGAATGCTACAGCCTGAGCATCTTGGCGGAAAAGGTCCTTTTGGCCTTTGGCAATAAAGGACCATTCATTAGGAGTGGGGTGAGCTATGGCAGCTATGGCAGCTATGGTAAGGTTCAGCTTTATATTTTTGGTAGCAGAGTTTTCTAGATGTTTTCCATTGTTTTACTCTTTGGAAGCAGTGAGACTGGGCTGTGTGGCCATGATTCCCGTTGTATTTTGTTGTACGCACTTGAGGCAATTTCCGTGCTGCGTTATCACATTTGCATACATTTGCTGTTGAGGGGCGACTTTGTTGAGCCTGTCACTCAAGTCTCTGATGTACCAAAAGGCACCCCAGACCAGCCTAGAACTTTGTGAGGTACTGTAAATTGGCCGGCACAGACTTGGCACCATGAAGCTTTCGTCGGCTGAGAAAATCGTGAGCTGTTTTCGAAGCTTCACATTTGAAAGCTACTCGTCACCCGCAATGATTTGTTCCCCACTCGCAAAACCGATTCATGGGCATGGAATTTTGCCCAGGGCCCCCAGCAGGAAAGTCAGAGATTTGAGAAGATTGGTGTACAGCACAGTGCCTGTGCAATCCACACGCTGAGTGAGCGAGAAAGAGAGAGAGAGAGAGACTAGTGAGACTGTCAATATATATGTCAATGATTGTCAATGTTAATATTGTTCATTAGTTCAATCATTGCAATGTGCAAAGACAAGTGCTTTGCTGATTTCAGTGGCTTGCCTGTTTGGGGAGCCTTCAGCTGCGTGTGTTGTTTGACGGCAGCATGGATCAGCAATAGCTGATAGCCCTACGCCAATGGCGAGTACGACACCGGACCGTGTCAGTGCATTTCAGTTTACTTTATGACAAGACCTGTGAAGTTACTTCATTTTCATAGTCTTGGACGACAGTGTCCGGACCTTTAGCGTATTTAATTACACTGATTGGAACAACATATCATGTGTCAGCAAAAGTCTTTCGCAATATTTCGTAATCATTGCTTGTGGATCCATGTGCCAAACTGATGAATGAAGCAATCGATATGCCATGTTCTTTTTTTTGCTGTATCCACCAGGGATGATGTTAGGGTTTCGCATCCAACCCCGCTGGGGCGAATTGTAACGGTTGCAGCACGAGTACGGTGCACTGGCCGGGGTAGGATGGGTCGTCTGCCTCAGTCCAACCTCCGGAACTTCAAAGAGCAAAGGAGCCTAGTGTGTATTCAAACCTGTGCCTTGGTGGGGTTCAGGATCTCGCAATATGTGCCTGAGAGCGGGAGTTTTGGTTGTTTCTTTGGCTTGGACATTCATATCTGGTTACTAGTACTATCATGGCTACACCAGCAATCCATTGCGTGATCGGATAGGTAAGGTGCAGAAGAGGGACCAGATAAACAGCAGAACGGCAGAGTCAGACTAGACAAATAGAAAGAGAGAGAGAGAGATAGATAGATAGGTAGATAGATAGATAGATAGGTAGATTGATAGATAGATAGATAGATAGATAGATAGATAGATAGATAGTCAGATAGATAGATAGAAAGACAGATAGACAACAGACAGACAGACAGATAGATAGATATATATACATCTGTTTGTCTATGTATATATATATATATATACCTAGATAGACAATGCAGATGATGTAAGAGGGGCAGCTAGGAGATACAGTATGCCCAAGATGTGAGAGAGGACAGCTGGGATTGATGTGGTAGATCGGATAAACAGAATAATAATGATAATAATTTTAGCAAAGCAAGATTAAACTACCATATTTTGACGGTTTATACCACCCATGTAGGGTAAAATTGGGGATGGTTCACTAGGTTTACGATTGCTTTACTAACGTTGGAGAGGATATATAGGATCAATGGGATAGGAAAGGATGGATACATGGGATGGATAATAGTAGGCGGAATCTGAGTGGGTTTGAGATTCAGCTAGTTAGTTATGCTGTGCTGGATGAGTGATGTTTTGCCAGAAGCGAAAAAATCAGAAAGATTCGTAGATGGAATGTGCCAGTGTAGGAAGACACCGGAGGCTAGACTACTGCGATCTACTGCGGACTCAAAAGGCTTGCGATTGCGCAGCCTGAGCTTTTAGAAATAAAAATAAATAAAACCTTGAAGGGGCACTTAGAGCCCTCCGCTGGATGCCCTGTCCCCCTGCCTGTCCCCTTACTGAAGTGGGCACTTTGGCAGCCTTGGCACATCAGCAACCTTTTTCTCCAAGATTTCAATTTGACAAGTGTATAGGAGCGTGTAGCTTTGCGCCCAGTGAGGACACGGCAGGCTCACAAAAAAGGCAGCTCTCGGGGTTCAGTCGGGTTCAGTTGCATTTGTGAACAGATTGAATATGATTGAATTATATTGACTTTTATAATATTGAACTATATAGCCATATTCAATCTGTAATAGAGTAATGTTGACTATAATGGTATAATATTGAACTATATAGAGTAATGCCATGTAATACCATGAAAATACCGATATCGGATGAACAGGCGAACCGTCGCAGGCAGGTAGTCCTGGAGTTTCAAAGTGTCAGTGGTGTGTCAGGCAAGAAGTCCCGATGCAAGACCGGAGCACGAGAGGCTGGGTTGTTCACCCGCTGCAGCTTTCTTCCAAGGTTTCTGTTGGCATCATCCCAGGTCCAGATAGCCTGAGATCTTGCAAGTTCTTGGTTTCTGATATTCTTCATCATTCACAATTCTCATCCAGATTCACAATATCGGTATGCTTTCCATGCTGGCCCCAAGAAAACATGTATGCGAGTGAGCTGCCACAGCTGGATAAAGAGGAAATGACGCTAAGCAAATGCGGTTCACCAGTACTAGTGGGACTTTTGGATCACTGACGCATGAGTCACAATGTGCGCACTGGCAAATGTATGTTTTAACTTTGAATACGCTTGAATATAAACAGGTCCTATATCAACACAAGCACACACACACACACATACACGTGTGTGTATATATATATATATATCATGTATTGTATGTGTTATATATGTATAGATTATATGTATAGATTATATATGTATATATTATAATATATACTATTATAGTACATTATTATATTATATTATCTTATCTTATATTATATCTTATTACACTATCTTATATTACATGTTATATACATAATAATAAAAATAAATAAAAAAATAAAAAAATAATAATAACAACAATAATAATAATACGTATAGTCATGTATTCATACATGTACATGCAAAGGCATAGTTGTTCTAGATGTGGGTTTGCACATATGTCTGGGTATTTATTTTTTTGGGAGGCATGCCATTATGTCAATCTGTGCATGTGTGTGCTACTCTATTTGGCATTTGTCCTGAATTTGCAAACGTGAGAGGTACATATATAACCTCAATGTTTCTATGCCACTGAAACTTCAGCTCTGATTTGGCTCAGCTAAGTGTGTAGCGTTTTTCCAGGTCTTTCGCAGACCGCAGCAGATCTAGGTCGGAATCGGTGGGTTTTTTAGGACGGGCTCCTTTTCTTGGACATGGCTTTCACATTTGCCTTGCTTCAAATGGCCGCTCTGTTGTATCAGCCCCCATTTAACTGTGTTTCTGTGCAGGATGGGACATGGATGATCATCCCAACTATCCTGCAAAATGATAAACATGTATAAACATGTTATGAAAGGTAGAGTAGATGGGCATACCTTCAGGCTGTGGCATACTTCCACTTGCAGATGCAGAACCCCAGCATCAATCAGTTTCGCTATTCGTATTGAATTATGTTAACAGTGTAGTCAATAGCCAAATAGCAATTATTTCCCCACGTTTGTCCCATGATTTTCCAGGTCTCGCCGGAGAGAACGTAGAACATCGACAAGGCCCGCTAAAGCGATTGGAAAGTTGACACGTGTCACAGTCGAAAGTTGGAATTCAAAATTTGATCATTGAAAATGGTGATTCGATGGGATATTAATGTACGTGTGTGTGTATATATATATATATATACATAATATGTGAATACGGATACATAACGAACTACAAAAAACTGGATGATACAATTACCCGGAAAAATGGGGGCAGTCATCAATCCAAAAATATGTAACTGTAATGTTATGTATATAATGTAGTGTAGTGTTATGTAATGAAATTTAATGTAATGTGTGTATATATATATATAGAAAATCCATTATGATTCTTGGGAGGGCGATATAGAGGAGTCAGAGCGAGAGAGAGAGAGAGAGAGAGAGAGATGGATGGATGGATGGATGGATGGATGGATGGATGGATGGATGGATGGATGGATGGATGGATGGATGGATGGATGGATGGATGGATGGATGGATGGAGAGATACACATTTTATACTTGTCTCGAAACATGGGTCATTCAATGAGTCTTGTTTGGTTTCATTCCTCATGCCTCCTACCGTGGCCAGGGGTTATGATCGAGACCTACAAAGGCACTTCCTGGAATTGGTCGCATCATTGCATGTCATGCTGTGTTTGCGCCTGTAATCATAGGTTGATAATGTGGTAAACCCAACAAATAATAAGCCACCCCCAGTTTCACCAGAAATTTGAAATGGGTTGTGGAATCTTAGAAACCATCCCCCAAACTGAGGGTTTCTTATTGTTCCACACTACCACCAGTTGTCGGGCAATAGATGAGTGAGTTGAACAAGTCCAGTCTGGTGGTCTCAGAATGTCTTAGATCATTTCAGATCTATGTTCAATTTGTGGGTAATTTGCCGTAGACACTGGTTGATCCCCCTTTGCAGGCGCGGTGATCGTGGAGAGCATCGAGGTGGGCCAACGGCCATTCGGCCATGCAGGAAATGCCCAATAGCTGGGCATGTCCTGGGCAAATTGTAGGATTGATGGATGTATGCATATATGTATATATGTATATATGTATATGTGTATATATGTATATATGTATGTATGTATGTATGCATGCATGCATGCATGCATGCATGCATGCATGGATGGATGGATGGATGTATGTATGTATGGATGTATGTATGTATGTATGTATGTAATGTATGTATGTATGTAATGTATGTAATGTATGTAATGTATGTAATGTATGTAATGTATGTAATGT